GTCCCCTCCGCCTCGGGGGGATGCTGCTGGCCGAAGCCAGGGACGGCCGCTCTTGCCAGCGTTGCTGTGTCTTTGGGCAGTCCCAGCAAAGCCGCTCGGAGTTACGCCCGCTGCCCCAAGCGAGCCTGGGCAGGAGCACATCTGCTGGGGTTTTGTTTGGTGGGGTGACGTTTTTGTGATTTCCCGTTTTTCTGGGCTGTGGTCAAGGTAGCGGGTTGTCCATAAAGCCACTCGTGGGATGCTGGCAAGAAGGGTGATGCCCTTCACGTTAAAGGGAGCGATTTATGTGCCAATAACAGTCTTCTGCATCGGCTTTATTTGTTGACTAATCTCTGTCTGTCTTTCAAGGATCACTCTTTTAAACTCATAAATGAGGATGACAGCACATCGAACGGCAACAAGCCCGTGGCATCCACTCCCGTGCCGGGATCACCATGGTAAGCAAATGCAGGCTGACCTGCTGGAAGCCACCGCGCCATGCCGTTGCCCTGGCCAGATGTGCTCGCGTCGTCTGCTGTGTGGGGGAAACACGCTGCCCTGGGCGTGAAGTTCCAACGCTGCGTTCCCGCTCCAGCTCCCCTGGAGCTTTTCCTCGTTGATTGTGTCCTTCGGGAAGGTGCGGGGAGGTGACTGCAAGCCCATGTGAGCCAGCTCGCTGGGAGCTGAGGGTGAGAGCAGCTGGCTGCCGAGCTGCGGCTCGGCCGGGGATGGGTCTGGCAGGAGGCGACCGATGGCTTCTCTGCCTGCTTGTTGTGGGCACGCGTGGCTGCTCGCCTGCTGCAGGCAGGGCTGGGCTCGGCCCCGCTCCTTGGGCTTCATCTCACACTTGCTGAGGATCCAGCCTTGATGGTGCTTGGATGGATCAGGGAGGAGACACAAGAGCCAGAAGAAACGTTCTTGTTTTTTAGTGCCAGATCGTCTTTCTCTCCTTCTTATTTCGTTGGCAGGCGGTGACTCTTACTGTCTTGCAAGAATGGGGTTGGTTTCAGGTTGTATCAGTAAAAGGAGGCTGGGTCTCATGGTCACGGTCTCCTGACCATGTTCCCATTCAGGTAACTACATGCTGGGTAACTGAAGCTCTCGTGCATTTTTAAAATTGTAAAATGATGACACCTTCCTTTGCTTTCTGTCCTGAATGGCTGCCTAGCAGTATTTTTTACCTCCTTTACCCGTATAATAATTAGCTGCTGCTTGGTGGCTGACGTCTGTGAGATCTGTGGCTGAGGCACTCCGTGTAGGCACCAGCCAGTATTTGTTATTACCATATTGTGCCATTTTGCAAACTGGTGTTGTAAGCACAGTTGGGTGTCCTGCTTAAATGCAACATCATAAATATGTGATTTATGTCCATCATTGCTCTTCTTGACCGTTGCTACTCTGTGGTGCAGTGTGGAGGAACCGTCTCAGCCCAGCAGTGCCACAGGCAGGTTACGGTTTCACCCGTTCTTACAGGAGAGAGCCACAGGCAGGGTGGTCTCACAGAGGGGTCTCCCAGCACCCCATCTTCTCCTCCAGCAGTGTCCGGGCAGCCGGTTCCTCCCCTGCACTGCACCGCACTCGGATCCAAGCTTGTGATGTTTTCATCTCTAAGGAGAAACCTTGCGTCTCTGGATTTCCAGAGGACTGTTTAGTGACCCAGCGAATACTCCAGGAGTGGGAAAAGGTGTCCGGGTCTGGTCCTTGGGAGCAGAGGGAGGGGACATAGTCCCCAGCGCTGACAGTTGTCCCGTGTTCTGAGGCGACAACGTCCCGTCTGCCCCACGGCTCGTGATGGAGCGCGGAGAATGCCTGCAGGGTGCTGCAATCACAATTTGCTAATTTTTCTGATAGGTTGAAACTAGATATGCAACACAAATTCAGCAGGTCCTGAGCTGACTCCAACTGCTCCCCACCCGTAGGCTGGCTCCCTGCTTCTGCGGGCCCCGTGGCTGACGTGACATCCCCAAGCATCTGTCAGAAGGAGCTAGACCGGAATTTTTAACGGCAGGAAGATTTTCAGGAATATTACCCAACTTTACCTACCTTAGGAAATAAATAAAAATACCAAAGCCAAATATCATCATCTTGTGCCTTTACTCAAATGGTGATTTTCTAAAGGGAGACATGAACAAAACTATCTGCATGGCCAGTCTGTGCTCTGTGACAAACAAAACACCATGCCCTCCCCTGTGGAGAACTGAAACTGTTCTTAGACCAAGAGGAACAGGTGAGATGTTACGTGGGGAAAGGGACATATAATTTGACACTTACATGAAGATTAATTCCTCATGGAAAAGTGAAGAGGTGTCATGAGGGACCCCATAATTTCTAACCTGGGGTGGTGGCATGTGAGACCTGGTGACACGTGGTGATTAATCAGCTCCATCAACACCTGACCGGAGGAGCCGTGGGTGCAGCAGAGGCAGAACAGGCATTTCCAAGCCCCCTGGCTATCATCTCCATCAGATAACAGCTTCGCCCATCCCACGTGTGTGTGGGCGCATCGCAGACCCCAGGCAAGGTGCTGGTTTCAGGTTTACCATCATTTGCAGCTGGCTCCCAGAGCAGCTCCGATTCTGCGGTGTGCTCACTTGCCGACGAAGGAAATCACAGCACGGGTCATTTCCAGGCAGCGTCTGCTCCTGGGCTGGATTGCGCCTGTGCCCTGACTGCAGTTCTGACATTTAATGAAAGGGTGGCAATAACCCATTTAAATTAATCAGCTGCGTCTGTCCTCCTCACCTACATGCCAAGATTTTTTCCCTTCCCCGGGACGAGCGTGGTATCTGTGGGCGCGGGGGGTCCTGGGTTGGGGTGTTCCTGCAGGAGTCCCTCTGGGGTGTCTGCGGACGAGGCTCGGGGCGGGCGGTGCTGGGAGAGCAGAGATGCCCATGGCTCCAAGGTGCAAAGTAAGAAGTAGTGCCAGAGGATCGGAGCATCTGTCTTGGGAGGCTGTGGTGATCCAAAACTTTTCTGCTATCAAAACGTTTGGCATGTCCGTGTCGCTGAAGTCAGGGTGCCAAAACTTCCCTGGGGTGCGAGGGTGGCTGGAGTCAGCGGCTGGATTCGTGCAGCCGGTGTCGTGCTCCTGTTCGCTGGGAGAACGTTCAGCTCGGTGGAGGGTGCTGAGCGCGGTGCTCGGGCTCGGTGGCACGGTCACACCGGTGTCGTGCTCCTGTTCGCTGGGAGAACGTTCAGCTCAGTGGAGCGTGCTGAGGGCGGTGCTCGGGCTCGGTGGCACGGTCACACCGGTGTCGTGCTCCTGTTCGCTGGGAGAACGTTCAGCTCGGCGGAGCGTGCTGAGCACGGTGCTCGGGCTCGGTGGCACGGTCACACTGGTGTCGTGCTCCTGTTCACTGGGAGAACGTTCAGCTCGGCGGAGCGTGCCGAGCAGGGTGCTCGGGCTCGGTGGCACGGTCACACCGGTGTCGTGCTCCTGTTCGCTGGGAGAACGTTCATCTCGGCGGAGCGTGCTGAGCACGGTGCTCGGGCTCGGTGGCACGGTCACACTGGTGTCGTGCTCCTGTTCACTGGGAGAACGTTCAGCTCGGCGGAGCGTGCCGAGCAGGGTGCTCGGGCTCGGTGGCACGGTCACACCGGTGTCGTGCTCCTGTTCGCTGGGAGAACGTTCATCTCGGCGGAGGGCCCGGTCACCCTCAGCGGCTTGTGCCACCCCGCCGCGGCTCCCTGCGGAGGCTGCGCGTCCTTCCCCACGTGCTGGGCAGGGGCGATGGAGGTGTCTGCCCGGGGGTGCACGGAGGAGGCCGCGTTCCCTCACCCCAGTGCCCACAGTGACGGAGCACTCTCCGTATTGCAGTCTGTTACCCAAACCAGACAATTTTTTAAACCAGATTTGTTCCCTGTGTTTCATAACAGTTCAGTGTCAGGGTTTCTAATGGTGAGATCTGTTCCTGCCGGGTTTGTGTGCTTCAGAGACCAGCGCGTTTCCATCAGAAGCACGGGGGGAAGGGGGGGAGTCAGAATGTGCCTATGATGCTTGTTGCTTTTCATTACATTCAGAAAGTGCAGGCTTGAGATTGATGTTCTCTGTGTTTATTGCATACAGATGTAGTGAAGTAAGACCTGAGGTTTGTGAATGTCTATTAAGGGTGGTGTGACACTCATTTTCGTATTGTTTCAGCTGATTTAAAATGAATGTTAGGACAAGAAGTTGTTGTCACACGTATTTTAACTAAGTCAAGAAACTGCAGTTTGCACAGCAGCGACTTGTTCTTATTTTTCAAATTCGAACCAGAGCCCATGAAGACCATCCTAGAGCTTTGTGGCTGACTGCTGCCGTGGCTGGCTGTGCCCCTCGAGCGCAGAGCGTGGTGGGAGCCGGTGGGGATGCCACCGGGATGCTGTGGTTACCCCTCCCCCCGCCCGCAACACCAGAAAGGGGT